CCCCCCCCCCCCGATCCCACTCCCGGCTCTGACCTTACAAAGCTGCTGTCCCTGGCTGAGCGCCTCGAAGGGGAACCGCTGGTGGCACTTGGTACAAGCATAAAGCGCCGCCATCCCGCCGCCCTCCCTGACAGGCGCAGCCGTAACCCAACCCGACGTAGCGCCCCCTCCTCCTCACGACATCATTGGCTAAATTCGACGCCATTCAGGATGAGAGGGCGGGACCTTCTGCCGTTCCTTGAGGCTCATTGAGTCTCCGGAGACGTCACTCAGAAGTGGGAGGCGGGGCGGCTCTGTTGTTTGGGGAAGCGGCAAGGGATGGGCTGGAGTGGCGCTGACGTCAGCGGGAAGGCCGCCGGCCGGGGGGGTGGAGGGAGGCAGGCGTCAGGTGACCCGCGCGAGGTACCTTTAACCATAGAGAGCGGTCTGGAGGTTGAGTCCTGGCAAGTGGACTCTCTTCTTTTTTCTTTTTGGTTGGAGACGTTTCGCTGCTTGTCCAAGCAGCTTCTTCAGTCTAAAAAAGTTGGTTAGGGGGACCCCATGCAAGCTTTCCAGGGTGGCTGTGTTTCTTACTGGCCTGATGGGCTCGTTGAAGGGACAATGGGAGATGCGATTAGCAGAGTCTTTGAGATGTAGATGTCCTACTCCTAACCCCCCACTCATCCGCAGGGGAACATTAAGTGTTGCCTTCCTGCTGAACTTCTGAGCTGTTCTTAATCTTCCTGGGGACCGTTGAAAGGGCAGCCTGGAAATGGGAGACAAGCTGGGTCTGAGGCCTCCACCTCTGCCGAGGGAAGGATTTTCCGCTTTGGCATAAATGGACGAGTGAGGGGTCAGGAGTAAGACATCTTAGCAACTTTTTTAGACTGAAGAAGCTGCTCGGACAAGTAGCGAAACGTCTCTAACCAAAAAGCAAAGAGTCCAGTTGCCATGAATCGACCTCCAGGCAATTCCACCTGGATGACTGAGAATCAATAGAGGTGAATATGTGCAGCTCAGGGTCGAACTGTGGAGTCTTTGGGGTTCTCTGAGCTTGGTTCTTTTCTTGCAAACGTTTCATTACCCGGCTGGGTAACATCTTCAGTCCTAAAATGGGG